CTTGCAATATAATTGTCTTAAATATTACCTCTACATACATTTAGAACCACATTAGACCATATTATAATTTTTGCTTCAACTGTTAAATATATTTATAAAATACAAAAGAAGAAAAGTCTATTGTATTTACCTATTTTTTCCTCTTTTAATATTGATTTTCATTATAGTTGACATATATTAGTTTCAGGCATTCAACATTTATATACTTTATGAATAAGTCTAGTTATTCATAATAACAAGTCTAGTTGTAACAATAATATTGGCTATATTCCCTATGCTGTACATTACATCCCCATGACATATTTTATAACTGGCAGTTTGTACTTCTTAATTCCCTTCCCTTCCCCTCCATCTCCCCCACTCCCTTCTCCTCTGACAACCATAAATTTATTTTCTGTATCTATGAGTTTGTTTTGTTTTGTTTGTTCATTTTTGTTTTTTAGATTCCCCACGTAAGTAAAATTATATGGTATTTGTCTTTCTCTGTCTGACTAACTTCACTTAACATAATATTCTCTAGGCCCAGCCATGTTGTCCTGATGGCAGGATTTCATTATTTTCGTGGCTGAGTAATATATATATATATATATATATATTTTTCGCATCTTCTTTATCCATTCATCTATTTATGGACCCCTAGGTTACTTATTTATTTATATTTGTTCACCATATTCTTTCTTCTTTCCTAATGTTCTAACATTCCTTCTTTTACTTCTCCCTTTCTGCTTAAAGAACTTCCTTTAGCGATTATTTTAGGGGCAGGTCTGCTGGTGAGAAATTCTCTTCACTTCCCTTTATCTCCCTTCATCTGAGAAGGTCTCTTTTAAAATTATATTTTATTGTTTATGCTATTACAATTGTCCCAAATTTTTCCCCTTTGTCCCCCTCCACCCAGCCCCCCTACTCCCTCCGTCAATCCCCGCACCATTGTCCATGTCCATGGATTCAGTATGTATGTTCTTGGGCTACTCTACTTCCTATGCTGTACTTTACAGCCCCATGACTATTCTGCAACCACCAAATTGTACTTCTTAATCCCTTCACCTTTTTTGCCCATCCCCACAAACCCTCTCCCATCTGGCAACCATCAAGGTGTTCTGTCTATGATTCTGTTTCTGTTCTACTTGTTCAATTTGGTTTTTAGATTAAATAGTTGATAGATTTGTATTTATTGCCATTTTATTGTTCATAGTTTTGATCTTCTTCTTAAAGAAGACCCTTTAACATTTCATATAATACTGGTTTGACGATGATGAACTCCTTTAGCTTTTTCTTGTCTGAAGCTCTTTATCTGTCCTTTGATTCTAAATGATAGTTTTGCTGGATAGAGTAATCTTGGTTGTAAGTCCTTGCTTTTCATTACTTTGAATCTTTCTTGCCAATCCCTTCTAGCCTGCAGTTTCTTTTGAGAAATCAGCTGACAGTCTTATGGAGGCACCCTTGCAGGTTAACTGCTTTTCTCTTGCTGCTTTTAAGATTCTCTCCTTGTCCTTAACCTTTGGCATTTTAATTCTGATGTGTCTTGGTGTGGGCCTCTGAGGGTCCATCTTGTTTGGGACTTTCTGTGCTTCCTGGACTTGTTTGTATATCTATTTCCTTCACCAAGTTAGGGAAGCTTGTTTCATTATTTTTTTTTTCAAATGGGTTTCCAATTTCTTGCTCTTTGTCCTCTCCTTCTGGCACCCCTATGATGTGAATTTTGGGGTGCTTGAAGTTGTCCCAGAGGTTCCTTACACTATCTCCATTTTTTTTAATTCTTTTTTTTTTTCTTTTTGTTCCGTTTGGTTGTTTCTGGCTTCCTTATGTTCCAAATCACTGATTTGATTCTTGGCTTCACTGAGAATATCTTGATTTCCCCATTATTCCTAAAGGATATTTTCACTGGATACCAGATTCTTTCAGCACTGTTGTGCCACTTTTTTCCTGGCTTCCATGGTTAATGAGAAATATGCTGTCATTCAAGTATTTTTTCTCTCATAGGTAAGGTGGTGTTTCCCACTTTCAATTTCTTTTCTTTTCTTTTTTTTTTTTTTGTCTTTAGGTCTCAGAAGGTTGACAGTGATGAATCTTGGGGTCAATTTTTTGGGACTTACTCTCTTTGGAGTTTGCTTAGCTTTGTGAACCTGTAGGTCTTTGAATACCTTTTTAGCTCCAGCCTCCTTTTTCCCTCCTTCTGGGACTCTGATGATGGGACAGTGTTAGCTCTTTTGTTCCTGTCCCACAGGTCCCTGCATATTTATTTTTCAGTCCACTTTCTCTCTGTTGGTCAGATTGGGTAGCATCGATTGTTCTATCTTCCAGTCCACTGATTCTTTCCCCTGCCCCCTCTATTCCACTATTAAGCCTATCCAGTGACATTTTTATTTTGGTTATTTTATTTGGTTATATTTTCCAGTTCTTACTTTTCCATTGGGTTCTTCTTTATTATCTTCTGTTTCTTTTCTGAGACTTGATTTTCTCATTTGTTTGATGCATGTTTGTAGTCATTGAAGTTTTTTGTTTTTTTTTTATCATGGCTGCTTGAAAACCTTTGTCAGATAATTCTAACATCTGCTGGCTCACTGTTAGCATCTTTTTTCCCTTCCGTTTGAGATGTCGTGGTTCTTGGTGTGATGAGTAATTTTTTACTGAAACTGGACATTTTTACATTATTTAATGAGACTGGACCTTATTTAAACTGCTGTTTAACTGGTTTTCTATGACATCACTCCAGCAGGGGCTGGGTGCTGCCTCATTACTGATAGGTGGAGGGAGAATTACTGCGGGGTAGGGGTGGGAGCTTGCCCCCTACTCGCCGCCAGGGTTCCAACTGCCGCTGCAGTGGAGGGTATGCTTGTTACCACCGGGCAGGGGTCTACGTCCTAACCCTCCACTAGGCCTCCTCTGACCCACCCAGTGGGTGGGGGGAGGAGCCCCCCAGGTCCAGATCCCCTGTGTGTTCTCCACTGACCCTGTGGGCAGGAGGGGGACCAGTGACCGCCCAGAGGGTGGGAGAATGAAAGTCCCAGCTCCCTACATGGCTTCCGCTGGCATCACCTCAGAAGGGCGCCTCATGACAGCTTGGCACGGGTGGCAGTCCTGGCTCCCCAGGCAGCCTTTGGTGGCAGGGCCAGTTTTCCCTGTGGTGTTTGGCTGGAGTAGATGAGTTATTGTCTAGTTGTCTGCCTTGTGAGGCGGGGCTTTTTTGCATTCTTTAGTTAGAAAGTTTTCTTTCTTTCTCTTTCTTGAAAATGTCTGTTCCTTTTGGCATTTCTGGGTTGCCGGCTTCTTTAGCTCCAAATCTGAGTATAAGCAGGGGGGGAAAATACAGGAAATTTACCACCATGTTGTTGTTTAGACCCCTAGCCCATCTGACTTCTCTCTACCTTTAAGAATCTTATCTTTGTTTTATATATAATATCCTCAGATTTTGTCATACTTAGAGGAATAGGGAAAAGTGCATCTAGTCCGTCTTTCCAGAAGCCTAAGTCCTGCAATAATTTAACATCCAAGAAGTTCAGACAATGTTCATGGTTTCTGCTCATGTCCTGGTTGAAACACTAGATATTAGGTTAGGTTCTTGAGATAATGAATTCCCTCTTGAGGTAGAAATGTGATTTAGCTCATTTTTATTGTACAAGAAAATTTGTTTGTCTGCCCCCCGCGCCCCCCCCCCACCCCCCACTGTTAGAACTTCAGGGAAAGTCTGATATATAATTTAAAAGAAAAAAAGAAAAAACTTTTTCTTTTACTCTTCTCTAGAAGATACTGAAATCCAGAAACTGGACAAGAGGTTATATGGCAAACACACATTAAATATCCTATGGATATTTATTGGATCAATCCCCCTGAGTAGTCATTAATTTCTTTATAGCCCCTCCAGCCCCCGCTCTTCAATGAGTGCTTAGGCTCTTTAGCCAGACTGAGGAACAATAAGTGGTGCTTAGCACCTACTCTGTGCCATGCACTTACTAGACGCTTTATTTTTTTTTTTCATTGTGTTGATCCTCTTTAACCAGTCTTTAGGTGTTTTATTAGTTATTTTTTAGATGAGAAACTAAATTGACAGCTAAAGACCAGCAGTCCTAGGATTTCAACTCGGATCTGCCCAAGTCCAAAGCTTGTGCTCATATATGGCTGACTCTTTTGGGTATATTTATCTCCATTTGAGAGATAAGGAAACTGAGGTCCAGGGATGTTTTTAGCACATTCTCAAAGACCCTTGAGGTGGGCTACGAAAAGGCCAAGGTTTCATGGAGGAGAGAGGAGATGAAGGGATATACAGGGAATGGCAAATCATGCTGTGTCCCTAATGTCACAGGCCCCTTGTTCCCCTGGGAGACTTTATAGAAAGCAGACTAACAGGACCACAGAGACCATCAAGGAATCATTACCAATGGCATCCATCTTGTCTATTTAATGGAATGAGTCTTCCTTCTAAGGATCTGCTGCTCCTCCTACCCAGCTGCCTCACCGACTCCCTTTCCAGCTGCCGATAACAGGAGCTTCCTGCAAGTGTCAGGCCACTCACTGCATCTGTCCAGAGGGGCAGCTCTGGATGAGAAAGGGCCGGTGAAAGATCCAGGATCCTGGGGGGAAGGGCAATGGTAACTTCCTTCCTTGCCTTTCAACTGTCAGAACAAAGTGTTGTCTCCAAAAAGCCAGGGGAGACTACTTTTGCTTGGGCCTGGGAGGCTTGAAATAATGCTATCTGATTAAATTTTCTAGCAAAGACAAGACCAAGTCACCAGACCCAAGGAGAAAACTGTATTTTCCTAAGCCAGAAAATGCTGTCATAATCTGAACTCAGCCAGAAAAAAAAAGGTCCAAAAAGTGATTTCATTTGTAGGGGAAAAAATGCCTAAAAGGGGAAAGTGACTGAATACTGGGAACCAACCCCTGCAAAAGGAACACGGTACAGCCAGGGAGGGTCACAGGACCTTCGACAGAGCAGGCCCATTAAAGAAACAACGCTTTCACATGGTGGGAGAAAAAGGCTATGTGGACACAATCAACGGCTCTTTGTTTCATCAGTTTTATTGGTCATATATCCAGAATTCGTTATATAAATCTTTCAAAATAACTAGATTTTACAAGAATAGTTTATAATTCAGCTCTAAATGCACAAATACTTGACACAGGAAACCATTTTTACAAATAATGTTTTCTTATAAGAATACTTTAATAAAATAAATCTCTATACATCATACAGCAAATTCTATGCAGTTTTTTTTCCCCGTTCAATCATTTCAAGATTTTTCTATCACAGTATGTCCATCACATCCAATAAACCAAATTACAGTTTGCTGCTGCTTCTCATTTTTAACCATTATTGAGATTCACACTGTTAAGAGTTTTTAGGCTTCTTTTCTAATCTTTCCTGATCTGAAAGAATTCACATATTTAGGTTAGAAGAGGTCATTTAAACAACACTCATTCTAACTAGCACTTGTACAGGTTGATCACTGTGCTTGGTGAATAATCTTTTCAGCTTTCACATAGGCTACGGCAGCTAGTAGTTTTACCCACACTGTATTGAGCAAGAGGGATAAATCCTTGCACTCTTAAATTTCTAAACTGAAAAAACAAAATCCTAAAAACAGAGTTAAATACAAATATTAAGAAAAGCTAAAACATTTGCTATTGATTAAAGAATGTTTTTAAATTCAAGGTCTCTCCCAGGTTGAAGAAGACATAAAAGAAATAAAGTATGAGAATATGGCAGTAGTTTTATAAAATATTGAAAAACTGAAAAAGGTTAATCGCTTAGGTCAGTGGTATATCATATCCAGAGTGCCAAAAGATATATATTCTGTGGTTAGCTGAACTCAAAATCTGATGTTTGTTGTTATGCTGTGGCTTTTAAATAGCTTTATCAATAATCACTTGCCCAAAGCAAGTAATCATTTAAGCTAGGGGAACTCTACAGAATACTGACCACGTTTACTTGAAGAGACAGGACCCACAGGGGAACATTTGGCATTAATTCCATTCCTTCGCTGTTACTGAAAAGTGTGTCCACTTGGCAAAGCTTGTCTTACTTTTCAGGTAGCATGAATTAAAACCTAGAGACTAGCACTATTCTATAGTCATGTTCCTGAGTACTCAACTCCAATTATTCAATTATCCAATATTCTTAAAAAGATTCTTTAATCAAGTCCTTGTCTGACAGGAGATTGAACAGTACTTGGGGACTACAACATGTCCCATTTTGCTTCTCTTTTATTTCTCGACTTCTCTTTCTCACACCAGTGTAACATTTGCTACGTGTTTTTACCAAAATACTTCAGCAGTAGTTGGAAAGGAGTTATTCTGCATTATCGAAAGTGTTCAATCACATTGTAATGGGTCACATTTGCATAATAACTAGGAGATGGTCAAACGTCTACTGTAGTGATTTTGCAAATTCAGCATAGTCGATGTATCCATCATTGTTCTTGTCATCGTCTCTTAAAACACCATCTATTAAGTTAATCAGTTCCTCTTCGCTCATCGGTGGTGCTTGCTCATTCCCTCCCTACAAAATTCAAATTAGACAATGAGTTGGCACATTTTATTGGAAGTGCTTACTTAACTAATTTCCAAAACGTCCATGCTCATACATGTCCAAAATCTCCGTCAATGAGTAGGTGGCTACTTGTAGGAATCCACAAATCATATACCCAATATAGAGTCGATTCATAATGATCCAATTTAAAAATTATATTTGCCAGTTAAAAGAAAGAAAGAAAGAAAGATACAATCAAAGTTGGCCCTTGCTTATTTATGTTAAAGATTACTTTCCATCCTTTTCTACTTACACAAGTCATGCATGTTCATTATAGAAAGACAGACCTGGCTTACACAGAATTTTGCATTTCATAGATTCCATGACCCACAAATCGATCCTAGAGAAAACTCATAGCCCAGGCCCTCCCAAGGGTCAGCTCTGGGCACAGTTTGCCCTGATAAAGTAAGAAACAGTCCATTCTGGACTACACCCTGGGGTCTGAACCAGAGGAAGAAGGCGCTGCCAACCAGTGGAACCTGTTAGGATCTTTGAGGGGAAGGCATTTCTCCTGTTCCAGAGGCTCACTGTGCCAAGTGCTGAGCTAATGCTGTCACATCCCGTGTCGATTCTTCCTTTGGCACCTGTCCCATGTCCACCCTTTTTTCTCCTATAGCCACCATCACCCTCACCTGCCAGGACCCTGAATCTGTGCTTCTCCCTGATGCCAGACTCTCCTCACATCCATCAGGCGGCCTCCCACAGCAAAGGTCTTCCCGAAACATGGCTCCAGTCACGCTGTTCTCCTGTACAGAGCTGTCAGCGCTCCCCGCTGCCTTCAGAGGCAACCCAAACCTCCTCTCCTGGGCAGCCAATGGGATCGCACCCACCTCTCCAACTCTGCCTCTCCTCCTCTCTACACCGCGGTGTGGCAGAGCAGGACAGCATTAAATCTGAAGACGTAAGATCTCAATTTCAATTACCTCCCCTCTAGAATAAGGTAATAAAAAGGCCTGCCCCTGCCTACTCATAAGCTGTTGCAAAAATCAAGTGAGATCTCTAACCTACCTGAAAATGCTTTGTAAACTGGTTTGCCTGCGGCAACGTACAAACCTTCAATTATTGCTGAGTCTCCCTGTCCCTTGGTTCCGATTCCCCACTCTTCTCAAATAAAATAACTTCTCCCCTGTTCTGCATTTTGAGCATGGTCTGTCTTTCAGGCACTGGTTTTCAAACCCTGGTGTGCAGCAGAGATGCCTATAAGCGCTTGTTAAAGACACAAGGGCCTGGGGCTTCCGCCTCAGCAGGTCGCCCTTTGTGAGAAGGACCATTTAATAGGAAAAGAGTCAGGACAGAGTGATGAGCAGAGAAAGGAGAAGCAGTAATATTGTTGCACGAGGACAGCACAGGTCATCAAGAGTGGGGACTGAAGTCCCAAAGGGAGGCCTTTCCAGGCTGCTATCCAGTGCACCACTGCCTGACCTACCTCCTTATGGACATGAGTGATGGCTGTGGAGAGTTCTAGGCCGTCAAGCAAATTATTGCCGTCATAATCATGCATTTTGAAATAATGGAGCTGCAGTTCTTGTGGGGACATCTCTGCCTCTGGTTTGTTGATGACGCCTTCTAGATGTTCCATGATATGCCTAGAAACCAACAGGTAGACTCAGACCACTTGGCAGGGACAGTCGGATCATGGCAAAACCTCAAGGACTCTTAAAAGTTCAAGATCTTAAAATTCATCCATCGCACAAAAACAAACAGATACAGTGGCAGACCACACTCAAGGATGGCAGAGATAAGCAAGGCCATGAAAGGGGCAAGGAATAAAATCAAACACTACCTTTATCATGCTGGCAAGATTATGGGTGTTTTTCCTCTTTATTACTAGAATGTTGTTATAATATTTTTGAGACTATCAATTAAAACAATTTTTTAAGCAATTCAAGGATAATGGAGTATATACTACATGAGGCTAACTGGCCCAAGACAAAAGTTGCAACAAATGACTCAGTGTTGGAATGTGCCAATTAAAAAAGAAAATGATCTTGTCAGAGTCAAGAAACCTTTGCTCCATTCTGGATTCCACCACTCCTGCTGCGTGTGTGCATGTGTGTATATCTGTCTGTCTGTACTGAGAGACAGAATGAATTCAGGTAAGTCATGTATCCTATTTGGGACTCAAGACCTTCCACTGGTGATATGATGATGAAAAAGGGAATGCCTGACCTACAGGTGGATGTAAGGAATGAATATCATCCTTGAAAAATGTCGAGGAGTTCAAATAGAAGGAAAACAGACTGAGGGTGCCATCGAAGCTGGCTGCAGCTGCAGGGGATGGGGAGACCCCTGGCCCACAGCCCTGGCTGAATACGTACTCTTGGTCGTGCACTGTGTTCTTATCCAGGCCCACGCTGCCAGGATGGGAGGAGCCGACCCTGGGCTCCTCGGCCCTGGTACCTGGGGCACAAAAGGCCCAGAGCAGACCGCATAGGAAGGGGGTTCTGATCAGCCGCAGAGATCTCATGGTCACCGGTACCTGGGAGGTGGGGAACACAGAAGATGAAGGCGAGAACACCAGAGCTCAAGTTCTTTCAAGACTCAACACAGTGTGCTCCTGAGAAGCATGATGAAGGAGCAAGGCTCGGGAAGAGAATATGTTAATCTGGCCCCAAGGCCAGCTCTGCCACTAGACCACTAGGCTCTGGGTCCCCATCACACAAATGGGCAAGTCCATGACATTTCCTGAAGCACCTTCCGAGTGCGAAGCAACTCACTGATAGCTTAAAGGGATGTGAATATTGTTCTTGCCTAAAAGAACCTTCCAGTATGGTGAGAGAAATACTTCCTACAAAGAGCACTAATAAAGGGAGAAAGTATATTGTACTAAGACAGATAAACCTTCTGAGAGTTCACAGAAAGAAATGTCCTCTGGGTGAGGGAAAATCAGAAAAGGCTGACGGACATCAGTTGGGCCTGGATGGATAAGTGTGCTCCGGACATGCCGGGATCCAAGGACAAAGGGAATGGTGCAAGCGAGTGGCAGGCGCAGACAAGTGGGAAAGAAACTCCAAGTGGGAAACCAGAGGGTGTGAAGTAGGCAGAACAGTGAACAATAAGCCAAGCAGTACTGAACATGACTGCGTGGTAAGCCAAGGGGACTGAAGTTTCCTGAGGCTAATGGGGAGCCCCTGAGGGTTCCTGAATGGAAGATGAGGTCAGAGCTTGCTTTCAGAATGGCTAATCTGGCAGTACAGCAGGGAAGGCATTTAGTGGAGCAAAGGTAGTTGAGGGAAGGAATGAGATGGGTCAATTCAAGGCCATCACAAAAAAGATTCACATTAAATACTGTCTCATTCATTTACAGGCCTGTGACAGAGGCCAGTAACTTAACCACCATGAAAGAGCATTGGCTAGGAGAGGTATATAGAAATTAGGATTCCATCAAATACTCCCAGGTTTGGCTAGACCTGACACTGTGGTCAACAACAGGAAGATGCAGTCAGCTACAGAGCAGCTCCCTGAGGTCAGGAGTGCTTTCTTCTCCCACCAAGAATCAGGCAGGGCTTTACTACATGTTTGTTAAACTGAAAGTCCTGGTCCTTCCCGGGGCTTATGGACTGGCCTCAAAAAGGAAGGGGGGAAGGACAGCCAGGAGACCTGCAGACCAACACAAAGAAAAGCCCTGAGTTACACACTCACTGCCCAAAAGGCGGCAGTGCCAGTTCTACTGGATAACAAGTGCCATGATTTCTAAGGGCCAACGGTAGCCACAGCCCCAAACCTAGAGCAGTAAAGAGAAGGCATAATGTGTTGGCCATACCCTCACACATGCTACACACAGAGCTCAGCTCCAAAGCCGTGCCATTTCCACTCCCTGTACCTGGGATGGAAGGTAGACATGCTGCAGCCCCCTCACCCATCCTAAAAGGTAGGACCCTGGAAAATGCCACCCCGACAAGATTGAGGAAAATTTTCCCAAACCCCTTTTGCCTTATCAGTAATGTAACCTCCCGTGGCCTCCTCCCTAAGGGGACAATAGTCACTGGGATCTCTAACTTTTAGGGTGGAAAAGCAGCACCTAGTCTTACTACTGGAGAGGGATATCATGATGCGATCTGTCCAAATTAAAAATAGGGAAAGATGTTCAACATATACAGTTTACATCAAACAAAAAGAACAGGCTGCAGAAGTCCGTAAAGAATAATTCACTTTAAAAGTATCCAGACCCCAATGAGGCCACTGCCACTGTGCCAGAAAACAAGGTTTCAAGTTACTTGCAGCAGCCACAGCACCGGCCAGGACAGAAAGGCTTGTTAAGAGTCCTGGGACAGGAGGGATCAGAGAGAGAAGTCAGTTCCTCCCAAGCCCTTCAGACTCATGTGCCTTAGAGGCCTCTGTCCCCAGCAAGCCTTCTTCAATTCCAAGTCTGACTTAGGTGTCCTCCCCATACGCTCCTGAGCGCGTCCCTTCCCAAGGGTCCTGACCATTGCTGACAACAGCTGTGAACGTGACCCTGAACAACACCCGACTACTGTCGGTGTTCCCTGCTGCACTGGCTCTGTGAGGGTGGGCACTGCATCCACAGCCCAGCATCAGGCAGTGCCAGGCACAGAGGTTGCCAGGCACAGTCCGTAGACTCTGTGCCATGGTCCTCGGGGGATGGGGGGAGTCCCACTTTCACGTACATGCTGCCAAGGTTTGATGTCAATGTAACTGAGCACAAAACCTTTTTCTGAGACATCTCAAAAGATTTTGAGTTGAGCTGAGTGATCACTAAACCCATGGCACCATTTCCTGTAAGTATGTGGTTGGAAACTTAGTATATTAAATTTGGGGGCTGGGGGAAATTCTATTCAAACACTAAAAAGTAACTGGGCCAAATGATCCCTTCTTCCAGGGAGGCAGAGTAAAGGCCAAGAATCACTGCTGTTGAACGCATCCCATCTTGGTTTGCTAACTACAGGCATTCTAACTACAGGCATATCTTGTTTTATTGGGTGCTTCACTTTATTGCGTTTTCATCAACACTGAGGCAAGACCCTCCCCCAGCAAAAAGATTACAACTCCCTGAAGGCTCAGATGACATTTAGTATTTTTTAGCAATAAAGTATTTTTAATTAAGGAATGTACATGGTTTCTTAGATGTTTTTGTACTTTGCACACTTAAGAGAATACCAGTGTAATGTATCCATAACTTTTATATGCACTAGGGAACCAAAAATTTCACATGACTCACTTGATCGCAGTATTTGCTTTATTGTGGTGGTCACAAACCAAACCTGTAATATCTCTGAGGTATGTCTGTGTTAAAACACAACAGAAACCAAATCTAATAACACAGAGGAGAAACTCTTACTTCAAGAGCAGTAATGAAAACAGGGAATGCAAGACCTGCAGTGAAAAGGGGAATCTGACTGCCACCTAACACTTCAAACAGTCACATTAAAAAAAAGCACAAGCAACTCCCATCACCCCTCTGAACAAGGTGCGTCACCCACAGTCCAACCACTTAGCCCAAGGCCATGAGCAAACAGCCAGGCAGATAACCCCCGGGAGTTCCTGACTTCACTGGCCTTCTTTGAGAAAATGTAAAGGTTAGGTTAGAGAAAAACCTGAAGGAGAAGCGGTTTCTGAAAGGCTTCAGAATACAACCCATGCTTTGAGACAGCCTACGAAAGGAGGAGCCTCAGTCCTGGGAGCGAAGCACCGGACTGTGGGCAGCAGGGAGCCACCAGGCACTGCGGTTCCCTGTGACAGGGTTCCCCTGGCTGCTCCAGCGCCCTCTTCCAGTCCCAGAGCATTTGCTCCCGCTGGTTCCACCTGTCATCCCTCTTCCTTGCTGGCCCAGTTCAAATATCACCTCTGGGTTCTTCAAGCCAAGATCAACTGTTCCCTCTTCTGATCTCAGTCTGCAGTCTCTCACACTCATCTGGCCTTAAGATATGGTCACATATTGTTCATCTTTTGTTTTTCTCTTCTCCTCCCTCTCTGAGGGCTGGGAACCTATCTTTTCTGTCTCTCCTATACCCTCCAAAATTTATCACAAAGTGCTGATCTGACCTTCACGTCTGACATAGCAGACCTTCATGTCTGAATCAGGGCAGTGGGTCTTGGCCGTCGGTATGTTGTTCCCTGTCGCAAAAGATCTGGCATAAGCTGGAAAATAACTTCCCTCTGGAGCCCTCCCACCAGAGATTTGGCCTGGCCCGCCTGTTCCTTCCATTATGTAGTTTGTCCTATCAGCACGTAACAGTTTGGAGCCAGCCTTTCTCCCATAAAGGCCACAGCAGCTGTGAGCAGCATTTCTCTCACACCACGGGCCCTCGGTTAAGAATTCAAACTCAAAGGCAGCCACACTCATCAACATTCAGACATCCTGTACACAGAGCCAATGCCAAAGAACAACTCTGATCAGTACTTCCATGGGCCTGAACTGGAAAGGAGAAAATAACCAAGCTCCTAGGCCAAAGAAACCTCTATATGGGTTGGGAGTTGAGCATAGATTCTGAAAGAGCAGATCTATTGTTCATTTGGGGTGCCCAAGGAGCTGCCATGCTTCATTTATACATTTAACTAACTTACTCTTTATTTACTTTTTTTTTTAACCCTTACCTGAGGACATTTTTTTTTCCATTGCTTTTAGAGAAAGAGAGGAAGGGAGAGAAACATCAATGTAAGAAGGAAACACTGACTGGTTGCCTCCCAGAGGCACCTGGACTGGAGAATCGAACCTGCAACCTAGGCACATGCCCTGACTGAGAATGGAGCCTGCAACCCTTTGGTCACCCAACAATGCTCCAACCAAATGAGCCACACCAGCCAAGGGCATAACATACTCTTTACTGATAGCCCCGAGCAGCATAAGATATTCAGGGTAGGACTGTGACTGAGACAAACTCCACTCACACAGATTACAACCCGTGGTTCAGTAAGACACACAACCCACAACTGAAGTAATTCGTTAACGATTATAATTTTTTTCAACCAAAGGATAGCACCAGAGGCAGAGGGAACCTGGTGTAACAGACACCTGAGCCTAGGAAGAACTTGGTCCAACCCAGGAGCTAAAAAGGGTTCAATATGGTTGAAGACACTCTAATGGAGACCGATGAGTTACAGTAAAAAGACAACAGGCCATGAAGGGGCTTGCAAAGCCCTGTTGGATAGCTTGGAAGAGCAAAGAGAATCCACTGAAAGGTCAGAAAGGGAAGGGTGCTGTGCTAAGATCTGTGCCTTAAGTCCATCACTCTGGCTTCCTAGCAAAAAAACTATAGAGAAATCAACAAAGCATTCAGGGGAACAGTCAGGAGCAGGGCAGTCCAGGTAAGAGATGATACTGCTTTGAACTAGCTAGAGCAGATACTGGCAGCGTAAAAACGGACGTATCTCAGAGAGGTTTGTGATGGATTCCATATGGGTGGTAAAGGAGCACGGGAGGTGAGAATGACGCCGAGGTTCTGGCTTGGGCACTGGGTGGATGGCGTGCCCATGCCCGGATAGGAAATACAAGAGGAAATCAGCCTCCTTCGCCTTCCC